TTTATCAAGTAACCCAGTTTGCAACTTTAGCTTTACTCCAAGAAATTAGAGGAAATGCAATTCACACACGTGAGATATAAAAGACCTCGTGAGGTTAACACATCAGAGGTAAAATGGACTATATAGAAGACGAGGAAAGAGTAGTGGGTGTGTGACTTCGAGATTTGGAGGATTCAGAGACCGAACGGTTCCTCGGTACAATGGCGTGTTCTACTTGGTGGCCATTGTTATCAGCGTCGAGTCAAGCCTGAATTCCAAATCCCTAGGTAGAAGCCATTAACTTTTGAAACAGCTAATATCATGACTGAAACGCTGCTATTGGCTTATCATCATGTGAACTCCCATTCTTTTCACGAGGATATCTAAAACTCTGCCCTATGGTGATAATATTTTCAGTTACTAAACCACACTACTGACCACTACTTTTAAGGTGAGAAAATACTGCAATTATTCCGCTGCATTTGGTGGTACTACACTGAAATACCTTAAAGAGACTCCGAGTGGAGCCAAAAAGCACTTTTTTCACACACTGGCAAATTTATAAACATTAATCTTCAGCTGCAGTTATAAAATCCACCACTGTAGGAGCGTTAAGGAGCACAGCGATGACCCGAACTCCTCGTAATTAAATCATGCAGTCATAAAGACGCATAGGCTCTGTCCCAACCCTTCATTATTATTTGCGTTCGGTTGGCGATAACTTGGTTCATGCAATGAGCACACAAGCGTATTAATCTAAACTGTTGAATTATAACTCCTGACAGCCTTCCGCGTCATAATAGGGGTAGATCACCGCGTGCAATAGAAGAGATGCAATCCATGAAAATAAGCTCACCCGATAAAGTTATGACTGGTACAAAAATACCAAACTTTAGACTGGAAATGCTTTAACTGTGTCCAGAAACAGTTACCAGCTTAAAAGACTAGAATACATCTCGATAATTTTATTCGACTAGGATAAAATTTCGAGGGACCCGACTCATCAATGGGTTTCTCGGCGTGCACTATGTAGGTTCTGCTAATTTTCAGAGATTTTCAAGGACGAATAAATTAAGTTCAAGTCGCTGAAAAAAAAACATACGTGGTAATATCCTCCAAACAACAAGTTGTGACGGCGGCGGGCAGATTGGAGGAACCAAAGATTGTCCTCAGCAACTGTATTTCCCTGCACTGTGGTAGGCTAACACAAGGGAATTTCCGAATGTTCAGTTGTATTTCTACCGCATCAATGTCCAGCACCTCAAACTTGGGCCCCTGAATATTTTCCAGGGAATACAGAGGTTGCAGCAGCTCGCGGGTAGCTATTTGTGCGCCGTTCTCTAACGGGAGTTGAGTCTGACAGGCTTGAAGGTACTTGCCCTCCAGACCCACCAACCTTTGCGTTATTGCGTGTCCACTTTCCAGCAGGTTGATCGCGTACTGGCGATGAACTGTCACGAGCAGTTTCAGGTTCAGAGTGCACATCTGTTCACACCAGTCGGGTGTAGGGAAAACCTCCACAGGGCTCTCCATCTCTTCATTAAATATCCTCGGCTCCACATGGTAGATGTGCTGGAAAATCTTTTCGCTACGCGCGGAGAAGAGAACAGACTCATCACCACTGTACTGATCCATTCTGCGCTGACTAGTTGGGTAGAAGAGACGCGAGGAATTTCTCGTGTCAGAGAACCGCGGCGTTGGGAACTGGGAGCATTTATCTTTAGCTTGTGGCGGTGTCCTTGGTCGGTCCAAAATGAATCGACGTGTTTTTGAGATGAGCCATTGATTGCATTCAAAGTGTTGCTGCGTCCTATTTTCCCTGTCCTCGATTGTAAAAGACCGTATGAACCAATCTTCATCGGCTAACAATGGAATAGAGGGAAAAAGACACATTGCTCATCTTATATAAAAAAATTAAATAACCTCAGCTGAATATTTACAACGAGAAAAAAACGCAAAAGAGCTACTAGGGCAGTTCCTTGCTTGAGATTGAGAAAAATTATTAAGCGAAGTCTTAATCAAAACTAGCGTTCCATGGGCAGTCCCTAATGAAACCCTTTGGGTACCTAGTACATTGGAATAGGTGGCAGGAATAGTCAAACGCCTCCTTTATACAAATCCACATTGCAGAAATTCATAAGGTCCAGCAGAATAGAGTCTCCACAAAAATGCTCTTTTGAGGAGCGGGCGGCCCCATGTTTCTGTAAAATCGTCATCTCAAAGTCTTAAATTAAATTTATCTTTAGCGCTACTCCTTAGGTGTGTTTCTAAATTGAACAGACTTAAGTGGTAACTTTGAACATTCCACTGCAAAACAGAGAAAACGATCATAAGAAATCGTCATAAACTCTTTGTCACAAATCCGCACGGAAAGGAAATGATTGACCGTACAGTGTAATGTCCTAATAGGCTTGCGAAAAACAAAACGGGATCCCTATTTGTATAAAGTTTTTGCAATCGGTGGCCAAATGGCGTTTAGAAGGTTACGAAACCCCGGTCATTAGGAGAGGTAGAATCTTGCGAGATCGATACATATCGACGCATTATTTATCAAGGTGGCGGGGCGAGCCAAATATATTATAACTTTGGACAGAGGCATTGGAGCAGTTTAACCAATGGTTGTGCTTAGATAAGTACACTCATCAGGCCGAATCCCAGGTGGTAGGTAAAGAGGTGAATACACAGGTGAGAGAGATTTATTGTGTACAGAACTCCCAATTGCTGTCGTAGGCGGCAGTGGCCACTGGCGAAACCAGGGCTAGTTCTGACTGCGTCCCGTCGTGCCTAAGAGAGAACGAGACAGTGGTGGCAGTTGGATTACGGAGCAGGTTCGAGTGTTCTCCGATTGGTGTGTGTGTGTGTGAGTGACATTACCCGAGGATTTTAATGTCTGGTGGCCTAGGCTCTGTCAGCCGAGGCTGAGGGAAAGGGACATGTTCAAGTGGTGCCTGAGCGACCGCGAATACCTGGACGCACGTGTGTGGAAATAGGTCAACTGTCTGTAGATCAGCGCGTGTGGAAGCGCTCACTGCGACAGTGGATGACCTTGAGGCAGCTGGCCTTAAACAAGGACGTCGGACAAAGTAGTGTTGGGCGTCGGCTACAACATAACTGGCATTATGAAACTTAATGCGGTCCCACATTTAAAAGAATTTGATAGGTGATGATTGTGGGGTGTAATTTATAACGAACGAGACACTGTTCGCCAAATTCTGCAGTATTATTACAGTATGGCCCATAAAACGCGTGACGTGTTCTTAAAACGTTTTGGTTAGTTCACTGGGGGCATGCTGAACTCTATTGCTACTCTCATCGGACGAGTTTTTATTTTGTTGCTTCAGGTGAGGATAGTATATAGGTATCACCAAAGTAAGCCAAATCCCCCGAGTTTGTGTTAGAATGAGAGCTTTTTCTTTCACATGTACGGATAACATACCCATCGAACTATATATTTGGACAGCAATCAAACGTCACAACTAATAAACAGCAAAGGGAGACCGAAATTACCATTTCTGACTTACTAGTCGTCATCAGCCAGTCATACTCAATTATCTGTGTGGATCCCCGAGATTCAAACCCGGGATCTTTGGTCATGGAGTTCAACACTCTGCCATTGCACCAGAAGGAGTAGTGTATTCTATACAGAAGCTTAGCGGTGGGTAGAACCCCCAACGCGCGGCCCATTCTGGAGCTGCTTGCGCGCGCGTGTGTCTATCTGTCCGTTAGGGTGATGTGGGCGCAATCAAATAAGTGTCCAGTCGGTGCGGTGGGGTGGGGGGGGGAGCCAGTCAGTGTCAGTCGATGGAGCTGTTGGCCGGGATTGCGGGCGCATGTGCTCGCCACGCCTGGTCTGGCTACTGGCGCACTGTGATCACGTGATTTCTCGAGTACCATGTGAGCGAGAGGCAGAAGCCCTATGAGAAATCCCAAACTGCCAACTCATGGCAACCTGTCCTATGTAGACGATAAATCTGCTCATAAAGCTCGTTGACTTCTGACATTAGACGGCACGAAGTTGGTGTGTGTGTGCGGTTTAGGTTGAGCTCATCATTTTGACCGCCTCATAGAGTAGCTAAATAGGCCGCAAAGGGCTACCATTAAGTTCATCGAGCTGGTTGAGTTAGTTCACTGATAGTTAGTCGCTAGTAAGGTAAGGAGGCTTTACCGGCGTGTTGAGACGCATTGCAGTGAAGCAGAAAATTCCTCTTCTTCTCAGAACTGTACTATCTCCAACGGATGTTGAAAGAAAACGGCTACCCGCGCAAGATCGTCAACCGCTGTATGCGCAAACGAAACGGGTGACAAA